CCGGCGGCGCGCCCGCCCGCCGCTCCCGCGGGAGGCGTGGGGAAGCACCGTGGGACTTGGGCCATCTTGGCCATCCTTCTGTCTGGAGGCAGACCTCTCCAGGGATGGCTGGAAGGGATGGTGTCCCCCCACCACTTGTCTCCCCTTCCCAAACCGTGCAGACTGCCCCTGACCCCAGCCACCTGCCTCCTTCACCCCGCAGCTGGCACCAGGGGACACATGTCCGGAGAAGCGGGCAGAGGTGGGGGGCAGCTGGACCCTTCGCCGCCGCCTCGCCAGGTAGGGGCTGAGGGGGGTGCAGATGCCTGGGCAGGCATCCAGGGCCCCCCACCTTCCTCCTTGCTCGCCTGAGGGGCCATGGCTGCCATGTAGGAGTCCTCCAGGTAAGGCTGAGCTGTAGGTTTTGCCATCCAGGCTCAGCTCTTGCAAGATTTCCCGCAGCTTCTCACTGCTTACATAGCTGACTTTGGGGGATGACTCCCAGGCCACACGAGCTGAGATGTCCCGGCCCAGCGACTTCTCCACGGGCTGCCCCTGCCCCGCAGCCGTCCCACAGTCCCGGATGTCCTTCAGGCCACGTTCAACGCCATCCCCCATGTCACAAAGCAGCACCTGAGAGCAAACAGGCTCATAGCCCACATGCTTCTGGAGGTCCTCAGCATCACTGCAAAGAGGTGGTGCACCCAGCAAGCAGGGAGGCTGCTTCCCGTCCCGCTCGGCCTGGGTGGGGCAGTGGTCCCCCAGTACGTCCCCACACTGCCCCGGGCTCTGGGTGCAGGGAGCCGCCAGCGCTGCGTGGGGCTCGCAGCAGCTCTCCGCAGACATCAGCCTCATCAGCTTCTCCTTGGCGCTGCTCACTTGCTCCTGCAGGCTTTCGATCACGGCGTTTTTCTGCGTCAAACAAACACGCCTGTCAAGCACAGGGCGGGTGGAGGCTACGAAAATGCCACCGACCTGGAAGCAGGTGCTGCCAGAAAACAGATCTCCCCTCTTTGTGTGGAGAGGTGTGCTGCAGCAGGCCTGCGAGAGCCAAACCGGCAGCACGTGTGACACTGTCCTCCCCTGGAGCCCTCCAGAGCACCCCAGATGTTGGTTTGGGAAGGGGGGCATGGGGCAGGCAGTACTCCAAGCCGGGTTGCTCCCTCCCATGCAGCATGGGTGAGGGAGCAGGAGGCTGAGGGCTTTGCTGAGGTGGAGCATCTCCCCTCTAAATTAACCACCTTTGGCTGTGCTGGAGCAGCCAGGCTCTCCTGCTCTTCTTCCTACATGTTTTTGTGAAACCCTCCAGATTATGCCTAATTTTGGCGCTTTGGGGTGCAGAGCGGAGTGACAAAACAAAGCAGCTCTTCCCGTCAGGAGGGAAGAGGCCAGAGGGGGAGCACCAGTGCGGACCAGGACAGGAAGGGCTTCCCACCCTACAAAGCCTTCAGCCCACAGAAGGGAAGGGGAGAAGCCCGTGCGGCTGAGGGGGGCCGGCGAAGCCCCGTACCTCGGTGAGCAGCCGCTTCATGGAGTTTTTCTCCCCTATGAGCTGGTAGAGCTGCTCCTCGCTGTACGCCGAGCGGCAGCTCCTGCTCGGGCTGCTGAAATATTTTGCCATGTGGCTCACGGTTTGGCTTTCTTCTTCAAAGGCTTTCCACTGCTTGAGCTGGGGAACAGAAGAGGGTGTTACACAGCCCCTGCCGCCGCGGCGGGAAGCAGGCGCAGCTCGAGCGGGAAGGAGACAAAGGGATGGAGCAGGGGAGACAAAGGCAGGGTGTGACGGATGGAGGAGCAGAGGCGGGGGGGAGAGACGG